GAGAGAGAGGGGGAGGGGGAGAGAGAGGGGAGGGAGGGGGAGAGAAAGAGAGAGAGAGGGGGGGGAGAGGGAGAGAGAGAGAGAGAGAAAGCACACAATATTTCGCGTTAACATAGAAATAACGAGTGTCAAAGACAACAGATAGCCTGTCTATCCCCGTGGTTTTAAGCACCCCGCATAATTTAGCAAAATTTGATCATTTATTTTGCATATTTTTTAAAATTATTTCCTTTATCATTCTTTGTTACAATTAACAGAATCGCATAATTTCACATTTTTGGGCTCAGCTTGCATAATTTCAGAATTTTTCTTGCATAAAACGACGGGGACAGGCCTATAAAGCCATTTGAAACAAAAATAACGTTATTATATTGTTGAGTTTGAGATTTGATCTCTCTTAGTGGTCAGTGAAACACTATGAGTATGACACCACGAGAACGAAAAGTGAGATGAGACAACGAACCCAATTCCTTAACGACTACACAGCTAGCGAGAGATGGAACTCCATCCGCTAAACAACTTTGTCTTTTATTTACTTTTTATACAAACATACAGTACGACACAGTTGCTTAAGCTCCTACAAAAAGCCTGGCGAGAGGGAAAAGCATCCAAACCAAAGAACACACAAAATATAAGCTTCGTTTAACCAATGATAGTAAATAACAAGATGGGCCACTTCTCTCTTTGAGCCAATTAAAAAAGTGTCCTCAAAATCTGGTGGCGCCCTCTTCACAAAAGCGCACTCTTTGCGAACAGAGTTACCGTACTTGAGTTTTTAAAAAATCAAAGTGAAACTAGCAAGTTTTGGGATAAATTTCGGAAGAACGCTTTTGTAAAATGGTTACGCTGACAAAAAACCTCTTCCGGAGGAAAGGGTGATGGTTTTCTTTGTTTAATTTGACTTTAGAATGAAAGGCGAGAGGTCATTAAAATAAAATAAAAAAACTAAAACTCCGCACTGAACGTACCCGAACTGCTGATGAACAGCAGTCGATCTGCGCACGCAAGGGGGTGCTATTCCTATTCTTCTTCTGGAAAAACGAAAGAGAGCTTCAAAACAGACTGCAGCGCCATCTGAAGCAAAGAGCATACTTCCTGCGGACACTTTTTTGGCTGAGTGGTCCATCTTGTTATTTACTATCTTTGGTTTAACCAATACCTTTGTTGTATTTACACTGTTTTAGTTTTACAGTAATGACATTTGCAACACAATAGGTCATATATTATATATTATATAGGCCTACACGCTATGTGCCAAAGATCAGAGGTGTTGCTAGAGAGTAACATAGAGAGAGCAGAAGGAGGAGAGATAATGGTGAAAGCATACAATCATGTACCACATCAGAGTCAGAACGCCCGCTAAGCTACCCACGTTACGTTGTGACAGAGAAAACGAGCCTTCACTATAGACTTAAAGCCAGTGTCTATTTAAAAAGTAACCCCACATAAAAATAGAATTTAAAACACATTTGTTTAAAATAGCCATATCGAATGTTACAACAATGAATACTGCAACTCAATTAAAAGGCTTTCAAAGATTTCCCTTTGCAAACACAAAAAAAATTAAATTAAATTTAAAAAAAAAACAATTTAAAAAATCAACAACAAAAAACAAACAACAAATCTTTGGCACATTACGTATACGGTATTTACAAAGTGGCTCACTATATGTTTTGGCACTAGCATGCTATGAAATGAACGCAAGTAAATAGGGGGGGGGAGAAATTTTTGCAAATATTATAATAATAGTAACAGCGGTAAGGAAAGTAAAAGCTGTCATACAGAATAAACATTGCAAAGAAGAAGGAACTGTGTAAAAGCAGAGTCGCACAGAAAAGAAAGCCGAACGAAACCCTTGGCACAAAATGACAGTTGCATTCATGATCGCGTCCAGGGCATTGGAACCTACCTGTCACAGACTTATGGGTTACACTTTACGAAGCAAAAGCTATGCGTTTTCAAATATAACAGGAAAGTGACTTGTCGTATTCAGCGATCTGAACTCGACCGCAACTACCATGTCACACGTACAAGCCTTCTGATTGGCTGATGGCAACGATTTTCATTTAATGAACTCCATCTTGAGCTACAAAACTAAACATGTTAAGACGGTTTAACAAGATGGGATCAGACCCCGCCAGACCCCCACC